GGAGGAAATGCGGGAGGAGAGCGATATGGGGGCGGGGCGGGAAAGGGGGGGGTGGAAGGACGGGCAGGAGACACAGCAAGAGCAGTGGAGAGCGACATGGAGTCCAGAACTGTGTTTGCGCAACCTTCGTTGATTTGCAGGTTGTCGGCCCGGTAGAAAAGCTACAAAAGGTTGCTGGCACATCTTGAATTCCATCCACCAAGAATCGGGAAGACCCATGGCGTAGTCCGTAAGCCGTAATCCAGGCATGAGAAAGAAAAAGTAGCGAAACTCAGTGCGCCGCAGTTCCTATCCAGGCTACGTCCAGCGCAAAGTCACCGGTGCCCCATACAAGGCTGTTGGGAGTAATGTGTGGAGATGTTCCCCCTTATGCCAACAGTCCTTAATAGGGATCATAATTGGCGGTGCAATAATCCCTATTGAGCATGTTAGCATAGGGGGAACATCCCAAGTAATGTGCATTCCAGCCCACTATAACCACGCAGGATTGAGCAACAGCCGGTTGCACAGATGATGTTGCAGCATGTTTGTGCACTCAGGCAAGTGACTATTTAGTGCACAGAACCGGTCGCAATTTGATGAATCTTGGCGGGCTAGATGAGATGATCTTATGTGGCCAGCCATCCAACACATCATGAATCACAGCTCTCCCAAACACCCTTGAGCGGTCCACTTCACTTGTGCCTTGCTGCGCGTGAGCCCTTGAGCCACAAGTCATCCTTACGCACGGAGGGCCAACACTGGACAACAGACGTGGCATCCTTGCCCGATGCCACGCGCAATGCTCAAGCAGAACGTTTCTGCATCTTTGCGAAATGGTAGCCCTAAACCCGAAACCCAAAACCCAAAGCCATAAACCCTAAATCCTAAACCCTAAATAGCCTGCAGCCTACAACGATCCGTGCCACACATGTCCACGCTGGAGGAGCGCGGTGCGTGCGGCGACGTCGCCTCAGCCAAAGCTCAAGCCAAGAGATGATGCAGAGGCACGTGAGCTGCCTCTTGACAGGGTCAGAGTCGGTATGCTTCAACTTTGATGGACACCTTAGAGAACACCATGTTGAAGCCAGGAAAGTTTTAAGGGAGAGAAGTTACCGAAAAACTGCTGGAAGCGTAAATCTGCAGCTTCTGAACAGCTTTTCCTGTACCTTCAGTTTCGCTTCATTTATGTATGAGCGTCTTCATCTTTAAGCATTCATCGGTTTAACTTCAATCCAAACTGCCAGAGCTTTCCCAACAACAGTAGCTGCATTCATCTTTCCCACGCCTTGGCAAGCAAAGTCCGGAGGGTCAAAGTTAAGCTACGCAGACCAAAGATGTTGCCAAAGTGACAGCACTCACTAGTACCAGGTGGTGGCCACACAACACTCCAAGTCTCATCGTTCCAGCCGCTCCAAGAAGATGACCAACCCTTATCCCAAGTCGACCGCCAGTCGCCACCATCCCAACCCAGGTCGTACTGCTGCGACCAAGTCATCACTCCACCAAAGCATGCTGACCAGGAAGTTCCCCTTGGCTCTTACCGTTACCTTCGGGGCACTCTCGGAAAAAAACTCAAGTCAGGTTTCTTGCCCTTCTTCTTTCTCTTGCCCTTTCCTTTTTCTTTACCTTCGAATAGATGCAAGGCCCGAAAGTATGTGCCTTGGCTAAGGAATCGAGGAAGGAAAGGATGGAATGGAATAGAATGGAATGGAAACGAATGGAATGGAACGGAATGGAAAGGGGCTCAGGAAAGGAAAGGAAAGAAAGGCCCAGCCTAGGCCGATCGACACGCAAGTTGCTGCGACGTCGCACAAGTGCAAATGTACGAGCGTCATGTTTGCAATTGGGGGAGGGGGTTCGGGAGATGGTGACCCCCCAACCTCCGTGCCTGCCTACGCCGGGCAGGCGCTTTCAAGAAATATGCCTTCGAGAAGAACTGCTGCAACTACTCTCTGCATCCTTCCAAACCCATCGTGCAGGCATTTCCGGCCCGCCCGCCCAACCCGCCTGCCTTAAGTCGGGCAAGCTCGCTTTTATGTATGAGCATCATGCCGTCGAGAATCGACAAGAATTGCTGCAAACACCCTCTGAATCTTTCCGGCCTGTTATGCGAGCATTGCTTTGCGGTTGGGGGAACTCCCCCCTCCCCTCTTGAGCCGGGCAAGCGCATCATGCTGTCGAGAGGAGTTGCCACAAATATTTGCGTGATAAAGGATGCAATACGTCCACATGCGGCAAAAATAGATGCATTTAAAGCTCGAAGGTCGAAGGTGATTGCCAGACTGGTAATGGGTTTTCATCTCGAGGAGGAGGATGCTGGGCATGCCACTGAATCTTTCCAGAATTCCACAAGACCTATCCGGACCGGGTTTCAAACCCAAGATTGATATCAAGCGTGGCCCCTGTGCAACCTTCCCAACCCGTCGTATGGGCGCCTCCCTCCCCCCGGCCCTTCCAAGCCGGGCAATAGCCCACCCCCAAGAGCATCATGTTGTCGAGGGGAATTGCAGCAAATCCCCTGTGAATGCTGCCATGCCCTCCGAGCATTCACAGATAGGGGGGTCCAGCCGCCCTGTTTTAGCGAGGCAAACTCGCCATTAAGAACGTCATGTCGTCGAGGCGAGAGGAGTTGTTGCAGATACCGTATGTAAATGTATCCTTCCACCCAACATGCAAGCATTGCTTTACAGAATTGGCAAACCCCCCGTCCCCCCCCCCCCCCCCCCCCGCTGTTTTAAGCCGGGCAAACTCGCTTTTACGTGAATCATGCTGTGGAGAAAGAATTGCTGCATGTGCTCTATGCACCCTTGCAAACCCATCGTGCAAGCATTGCCCTGCCAACATCAGGGGGGGTTGAGCGCGCCTCTCGCGACAATTACAATTAAGATCGGTTGTGCCTGTGTGCCTCGGGTGCACATGTCCTGGGCTTGGACGCAGAATCCTGTCTTCACGCACTTCATGGACACATGTTTTGTGATCTTTAAATCGCTGATGTTTGATCCGTTTTGGCTCAGGATAGAAAAGCTTGTTAGATCCCAGAAAGGTTTTTACTTTTTTCCTCACCCACAACAACAACACGATGGGCAGCTTCTAGCAGTCTTGGAAACAATGCAGCTTTGTTCTAGGCCTGAGGCTCATTTCTGCATTCATACACAAAAGCCTTTTCAAGCCGATTTTCGCAGGACAAGCCAATCATATCCCTAAACCCTAAACCCTAAGCCCTAAACCCTAAACCCTAAACCCTAAACCCTACGGTAGGTGCGGACAGGGGTGTTGCAAGACCAGGCCTGGGTCGGCACAAAAACCATGATCAGGCTGGTCAGCCACGCGCCCTTCGCGAGAGCAGCGCCCCATTGAGCAGCAGCTTTGCTGTCATTGGTGGAGGTTTAGGGTTTAGGGTTTAGGGTTTAGGGTTTAGGGTTTAGGGTTTAGGGTTTAGGGTTTAGGGTTTAGGGTTTAGGGTTTAGGGGTTTGCGACCTTGTGACCAGATGTTCTACCAGAATTTTCCACCTGGGTGGCCACTTTCCATGCTTAGGCCATGTCTCATCGCAGAGCTCTGCTCTTGCCGGATTGCCGACGGCAGAAGACTTCGCGGCAATGCGGACACAGCTGGACCAAGAAAAGAGAGAGGCGGTTCCAGAAGCATGTCTGTGTGGCTGCTTTAGAAGGGAAAGACTGTGAGAATGTCTTGTCATGCCTAGCACGTTGTGTGCAGGTCAGGCAGATCAAATCCTTGGAGTCGCAGCTGAAGTGGGGCCTTCAGCGCGAGGAGCGGCGCCAGACCGAGGAGGAACGAAGGGAAGAGGCCGGGGGGAAAGATGGAAAGACCGAGGATGCAACACATGATGCTGCCAATGCCACAGCCGCTGGTCCATTTGGGCCTCAAGAAGCTCTGCCCTAAACCCTAAACCCTAAACCCTAAACCCTAAACCCTAAACCCTAAACCCTAAACCCTAAACCCTAAACCCTAAACCCTAAACCCTAAACCCTAAACCCTAAGAATGTTCATATGGCTTGCAGGCTCGACAGATCATGGAATGGAGGGACCGCCAAGCGAGAGAGATGCAACTTGGTCTTGCTCAGGATGAGTTTAGGGTTTAGGGTTTAGGGTTTAGGGTTTAGGGTTTAGGGTTTAGGGTTTAGGGTTTAGGAAAGCTAGGCGGCATCTGCAGGGTTTCTTGTTGAGAAGGTCGGTCAGAATTGCACTGCAGTGCTGCAACACGTATACCAACAAGTACGGGAGGGCTTTGTTCCTGCTTTTGGTCGTTTACGCTGTTGCGCATGATACCAGTCTGGCTCTTTCAAGAGAACTTCGGGGCAAACTTGGGTTCTTTTGTTCGCAGAGAGCACGTGCCATGTGCTTCAAGGAAAGACTATGTCGAGGAAAAGGGCCGGGAGCAGCGGATACAGGAACTTCTGCAATCAAAGGCCAGGACGCCTCCGAAGCTTACAGGTGTCTGCAAAAAAAGCTGCCATTTTGGTTTATGTACACCTGCAGTGGAAGGAGTACCAGATGTTCAAGCGCGAATGGAAGCAAGCCGTGCGAAAGGAGGAAATAGAGCGAATCAAGGACGGGCACTTCGGATCACGAATTGCGGGGCTTCTGCGTTCGCAGCTCAAACCCAACTCATGCTGTGAATTACAGCGTGCTCAAGTCGTGACCCTAAACCCTAAACCCTAAACCCTAAACCCTAAACCCTAAACCCTAAACCCTAAACCCTAAACCCTAAACCCTAAATCCTGAACCCTAAACCCTAAACCCTAAACCGCTGTGCACGATACAGGTGCAGCTGGCTGAGGGAATGGACAACGCCCACTGGAAGCTTGAGCTGCAGTGTCTCGGCATCAGCTTCAGAAAACAACATGATCATCATGTCTCAATAGGGGGCTTTACGAAAATCATGAGGGAACCCTCAATTTAGTCCCCACATAGTAGGATCCCTTAGAATAGGGACCCCAATTTCGGTACCCTTGATTTCGGGAAACCCCCCCACATGTCTCAACACGACTCAGCGGTGCTCCGTTCCGCTTCGTTTGCGCAGGCGGGCGATGGAGATGGACAGGCAGCTGGCGTTGCAGGAAATTATGGAGTCGCAGCAAGAGATGAAAGAGCTGCCCGGCATTTGTCCGTGCAAACGTGGCTTGCTTGCTGCTGTGTGGCTTCACATCATGACACTGGGACTGATCATGAGCGAATCTGCAGCAGCTGAGGATACGAGAAAAAGAGCGACAGCGGGAGAAAGCAGTACAACTCCAGGACAGTAGAATATCACCACTGCCCGGTAAACGAGATCATTCGCCTACTTCTGCTGCCAACTCATCTCGCCACACCGTCCGGGAATGACCTTTTCTCCGCCCCGATGGAATAACGCCTGCCACTGCGGATGATTTTCTTGGTGTCCCTAAACCCTAAACCCTAAACCCCAGTAGTACCAATCATCAACCCTGCTTGCGGTTCGGCCAGCTATGCGGGAGCGAAAAAAAACCCTAAACCCTAAACCATTTGAACACCGCGACCTGCAGGACAGAGCGCACGACTTGGCCTTAGAGTACGCGCATCAGGCACGAGATTTATCAGAGCTTTTCCACCAACTCCGTGGCTCCCTGTGCTCAGAGCTGCTTCATGTGTTGTGTACATAGAACCCAAGGAAAGCAATTAAATAAGGTAATTACAGTAACTCTTCTTCAAATTGCAAGACCGGACTGATAAGACTTAATGTAAGAACTGCTCACCAGCACAGTCGTGATTGAAGGGCCTTGGGCGATTCCATGTTTGCATACGGTACATGCGACACGGAGGCTTCGCAAATCTCTTCAGAGAAGGAGGACCTGACATGTTCAGCTCGTAGACCTGTGAAGACAGCCTGGGTGCCTCTCTCTCCAGATTTTCCAAAACCCCTTAGTTAAGGAATATACCCTAATTCATAATCATGATCCTTAGTATAAATTAGGGGAAATTTTCCTTAATTAAGGGTTCTGGAGATCTGGGTACAGTGCAGCGCCCGTCTGCTCAGTGAGGAGCTTCTTCGCAGCCTGGCGCTTCTGCGACAGCGGCAGACACGGCTTCTGCAAAGGAGTTTCAATGTGTTGGGCTTGTTGTAGATGTTCGCAAGGACTGCATAGGCAGAGGGAGTTACCTTATAATGATGGAGGAACAACTCCTGGGAGCATGAATGTCATGATGTGGCCCGATATGCCGAACAATGCTACATTGCTAAATGTTTTGGACCGGTCGGGCCAGGGAGGTTTCCAAAAGCGGCTTTTCGGCTTTTGTCATGATCAGTGGTGAGGTCAGCATCCAGCTCGAACCGGTCGAAGTGATTCAGGGGGCGGGGGGCAGGCCTTCAGGGACAATGCCTTCCGAAACAATCAGCAGTTGCTACGTGGCTTGCCAAAGGAAACTGCCAGTGACTGGAAATGCCTCTCGCGCAGGGACGGCACCTTGATTGCACATCAGCCAATGGAAAGTTTAGTTAAAGGAATCCACAAAACGCAGTGGACCCTTTCCAACCTCAAGTGGTGGATATTTCGGCAACAGAAATACGACGGGCAAAACCAACACGAATGCAGTACGTAGTTTTGTAAGCGTATTACAACCCAACGGACGGGGATACTCTTTGGGAAAGAAGCGCATGCAATCGTGTGGCCGAATTGTTTAGTTCACACTGCGACACTGGGCCACAACTTGGTTCTGGAAGCTGTGACTCTGACTGGCTTGCTAAGACTCTTTGGCCCAGTGCTCGCTAAGCTGCACTGCTGCTCAGCTGCAAGGAGAGAGTGGGGAAGTACCTTTTGCGATTGCGGGGCAGGGTCGGTCAGAAGCGAAGTGGAGTACGCATCAAGTCATGTGATGGCCAGGCGTGTACCGCCGCGTAGAACCAGTGGGTGAAGGACCGATGTGAGTAGGTGAGGGGGCCCTGAGTTGCGAGCAAATGTCAGCAAGCATGTGAGCCATGCCGAAGTTTCACCATGTGGCAACATAGTTTTTTGACTCTGACAGCTCCTATCCAACATCAGGAGCTGCCCAAGATCATACACAGCAAGGTTCAAGTTAATTGCTGTCAGGGTTTGATTGAAGTTACCCAAGCGCAGACATGACATACAGCTCATGCGCGCAGAAAAATCTCCAGCTTGTAGAATGTCAATTCTGCCTCGCAATGGAGCGTGAGGTGTGCATGGGCCACAATTGGCAGACGGATTGGCACGTTTAACATTGGGTTGTTGCTGTTTACCATGTCTATGTATAAGTTGTCTGCACGCTCGGATAGTCTCAGAGACATTTTCGGAAGTGTTTACCATGCTCCTGGCCACAAGCTTCGCTGCTGACGGCAATTCAGTGCAGATAAAAAAACTCCCAGTGGCCGTATGTTTGGTAAGTTGATACCAGCTACCATGTCTGTCGAACCTGACAAGTTGTCTTTTGCTGCTTTGTTTGGCTCAAGCCAGGTGCATCGGTTCTGGTGCACCTGCCCCTTTCAAAACCATGCGGTAATGGTACATGCGGAGGCTGGTGGGGAGAAGCAGCTGCTTGATGGATTGCAGCACTTTGCCGCACGACCGGAGAAATCGATTTAAAACAAAATGAACCGGGTCACCGTTGGTGCGTAAAAAAGTGAACACATGTGCGCCGCACAGCGGCCGTGTGACGTTGCTTGGGCCGACTTCTGTCGTTTACTGCACCTTCATCATTTTCGCCACTGATTGGTGACCGCCCCGCATGGTCGACCAATGTGGATACCGCGACAACCTATGCGAACGTTTCGCTGAGATGGACCAGAACTCCAAGCTACCTTGCTCTTCCTTGCAAAAGTCAGAGCCCACAAAACGTCCGAAGTGCCACCTGGGGCAGAGCAGAGACCCAACCAGCAATCAGAAATCACAAGCCGTTGCTGAACAGGCCACCGGATCATATGGAGATCAAGCCGAGGCGCGGCTGACTTTGGTGGTGGCATTCGAAGCACCGAAAATCCCTTGACCTTGCTTTGAAGGAAGGCGGAGCGGATGGGGCAGCGCTGCGCTTGGACAAAGGTTTGCTGGAGCTTGTGTGGGTTTTTACTTGTGAGACAGAGGACGACGCAGATGGGGCGGGATTAACTCGAGCGCCGGGGCCCGATCGTGCGTTGGAGCAGTGTTGGGTCGTTGGACAAGATCACGCAGATAGATGCACCTGCCCAAAAGTCTGTTGCGAGGTGGCATTGCTTCGGGTCACTCGCCCAGACTGCTTAAATTTCGGCAAACCCTAAACCCTAAACCCTAAACCAGTTGATGTCTCGAGGCCATTCATGGGACGGTCTGAAGGCAGCCAGCGCCGTCTCCGGCCCAAAGCGTTGCGTCAGCCTGGCGCGTACACAAAGCTTCGTCAACCTAGGCCTTCCTGCACACCGTGCTATGCTGGGAGCTGCAGCCCCATGGACGGGCTGTTGACCCACCAAAATCATGCAAAGTTCCCCAAACCCTAAACCCTAAACCCTAAACCCTAAACCCTAAACCCTAAACCCTAAACCCTACTCCCATGTTCATGATCATGTCCCGGCTCATGTCGAGGTCTGCCTCTGCGGAGCGGGGGCCTGTGCTCAGCGAGCCGTGACGCAGGAAGCCTTAGCCTCAGGTCACCAGTCATCTTGCTTTTCCCGGTATGCCCCCCCCCCCCCCCCGGCAGAGTTTAGGGTGTAGGGTTTAGGGTTTAGGGCCTAGGGTATGCCCCCCCCCCCCCAGAACCCGGAATGTGTAAGGCGTTTTGAAAACCAGGGCGCAGTGGGTCCGTCAAAAAGCTGGGGCATGCCTGGGGATGCCGGAAACACTCCTTCTGGCACTCAGTGATCTATTTGGGGATGTCGGAGCATGTTACCGCCCCTAGAATCCCTGCCCATGTAGCAACGGGGAAGAACTCTGACCAGATCTGACCAGGCCCCGCCCAATGCAATGGTCATGAATCCTGAGAAATTCCTTGGCCAGGTGTTCCGGGTAGTCGAAGACTCTTCTTGGCTCTGGAGATCAGAAATCTCTTCTTTCAAGACTTTCTAAGGGCCTCTAAGGATGGCAGGCCAGGGAAGGGCCGGCCTGAAAAAGCAGACCTTGTCGGAAGAAAAAGGCTGTTGTCGTTTCATGGCTTTGCAGTTTCCGCCCCCGATGTGGCTGGCAACTGACATGCTGGAGTTCACCCGGCAAGCACTCAGGTTGGATGTGGCTTTCCGGCTCATTTGCCCGGGGCCTTAGACTCTTAGACACTCGGAATTTCAGAATTTCAGAATCCTCAGCAAAAAGCTGTCGGCAACTTGCGACGCGAGATGTCAAAGCGAACCGAGCGTTGAAGAAACGAGGAACTCGGGAGCCTGGCGGTGTGCAGTCTTACCAGCGGACTCCGATGGCGAGGCGCCACGTGCTCACATGCTTTGTGCCTGCATTGCCCGGAGCCTCCTGCAACGGCACAGAAGATGCTACTCCTGGCGGAGATGGCCGGTGCAGAGTTTAGGGTTTAGGGTTTCGGGTTTAGGGTTTAGGGATTGGTATTCTGCTGTGCGCTGGTCCCGTGACGAAGACACCCGGGGCTGCCCGCGTCGCCTAGTGCCGAAACCTGTCGTGCCATGCGACTCCGCGAGGCCGACTCTCGGACAGTAGCAGTCGGTCATCACCTGAGCAACATTGGAATGCTTGCATCTTGCAGAACTCCGCCCAGTGACTGCGTATGCACGAGCAACGAGGCTCAGGCGGCGATGCCGTGGAAAGATTAACTCCGAGCCCGGCCCTGCATGCTTAAAAGGCTTAAACGGATAGGGGAGAAGGAGTCAGGACGCTAGTTTTCAGTGCCTTGCAAGTGACCCAGTGCAAGTATGCCGATCATACTCGGTCTTATTTCTTCGTGGCTCCTGCCGTCCGCTCCCGCTCAGGACTGAAGTCGACCGTGTACGAGATACAATCAGCGTTGGGCACTTTGCAACCTTCGATGCCATGCTAGCGAAACTCAAACTAAGATGCCTCAGCTCCGGCCTTCTCCAGCATCATCCAGCTGTGGTATTTTTCGTGCATCATTACATCATTGCTCATGTCGCTGTTTTACATGTCGTACCCTTCAGCGGCTTCGCAAGCATGTCGACATGAGGTCACGAGCACGTGCTCACCATCCCCGATGTCAGCATCTCAAAGGGTGAAGATGGAAGTCCGAAAAACACGCAGCCACGGCTCATGATTCAACATCTTGGCATGTGGATTATGGAAGTTTGAGTTTCAAAGCCTGGGTCGGTTCTCTGTGTGCGGGTGTTGATACCGAGTCAACGTGAGTACGCTCGGGGACCTCGGGGCGTTGTTCCAGGATGGAAGCACATCCCTCCCAGCGCAGCGAAGCATCACAGCCGCCGGCAGTCTGAAGGCTGGCGCTGCCAGGGAGAGGGCTTAGGGTTGAGGGTTAAGAAGGGTTTAGGGTTTAGGGCAAAGAGTTGGCTCTCAGACTCGGGTTCAAAAGGACTTAGGGCTAAGAGAATACCATGGCAACTGTCAACTGCCAAATTCCTCGACAAGGAGGGGCACGCAGACACATGGCATAGATACCGCGAGGCGGCATTGTGAGTTAGAGGGAGGCTGCACAATTCATCACGAATCAGGGATGGCCAGTGTATGTCGCTGTGTCCCACCCGCTGCTTTGCGCTGCAAAGGGCACGGGCTCAAGAGTGCACAGCCCCGTTGTCGCCGCTGTCCACACTCAGTTCATCACCGTGCACGGCAGTGCTTCTCAATCCGACATGGGCAACAAGTACCAAGCTGCAATTAGCGCATTGTAGAAGCATGTATAAATACATAGCTAATTTAAATATAAATTGAAATATGAATATAAATGTAAATATAAATATAGATAAATAAATCGATAAATAGATAAATAGATAAATAAATAAATATATATATATATATATATGCATACATATATATATATATGTATATATATATATACATATATATATATATATATATTTGAGTTCAGCGCGCTTTGAGTGATGTAATGTTTCGAGGTTTGCAGGGGCACAAACACCGTGAGAATAACAGCATTTTGAGGCTTGAGGTGCTCAAATTGCTGTAGATCGGTTTAGGGTTTAGGGTTTATGGTTTAGGGTTTAGGGTTGCTGTAGATTGCAGTATATCCTATCGAGGTTTTTGGTTTCTGGCACATGCAGAAAAGGAAGAGAGCAAAGAGGGAACAAAACTGCACGAAACAACCTGACCTTAACTTTGAACATGAAGGTGAATGAAGGCTGTACAACCTTTTGCGTCTAGTGACACGTGCGCACATGGAGGGCCAGCGGCCGGCTACCCCCCTCCCCAACTCCCCTCAAGCAAGGGCAAACCCCTGCAACCCTGACCCGCCCGATCCTTGAGTTATCTTGTTTTTTATTTGGATCCCTAAAGAATTACTTGTTTTGATTCTTACTTATTCCTGCACGATCCTTCATCTGCATGCTGCCATGTACGATCACCCGATGCATTTGCACAAGCGCTTAGCTTCAGCATATCTGAGGCAAGGAAGCTTCGTGCGATGCGAGGCAATCATTGGAGAGCGCAGTGAGATGCACTTAATGCATGACCGTTTGGGCAGCTGCACCCTAAACCCTAAACCCTAAACCCTAAACCCTAAATCCTAAACCTGTCTGGCAGGAGCCATCGGCCAAGAGCCACCCAACGGCTTTCCCTGAACACGTGAAGCAAGTGCCCCTGACCCCGGAAATGGACAAGGCACGAACATGGGGCGGTTTCCGACACTAGGGTTTAGGGTTTAGGGTTTAGGTGCCTTATTTGGGGCCCTTATTAAAAAGGAATCCTACTCTTTGGGGGTCTAAATTAGGGGTCCCTCATCTTCGTAAAACCCAAATAACTCCTGCTCATTGTCGGTGCATGTGAGGAGCAGGGCTTCAAGCAGTACAAGAAGTATGATGAGTCCATGGGCCCTTTCCCTGAATCTCGATGCAATGATGATGCCAACGTGTGTGGGCAGTTCGTGCTGCGCATCAGCCAAGCGCAGCGTGGGGGCTTGCAAGGACACCTTCGACTTTGCGAACCAGCTAAAGCTCACCGAAGAACAGGTCAATCAGCCCAGTGCTTAGCATGCAAGCCACTGGCAGGACGCAGGCTGGCATGTGCGTCCAGACATGGGCGCATCGTTGCTCAGGTCCTACGAGCACCAACTGCCCTTCCACATGAAGGTGGATGGCAACGCAAAGCCAGTATACTCCTCGAAGTGGGAACGAAGCTTGTCAGCAAATTGGGCTTTACATCCCTGCAGCACTTCCACAAAGCTTTGCGGAGCAAGCAGCTTGAAAGAGGCAGCCAGTTTCTGGAGGGTTGAGGCAAACATGTGCAACTCGAACCGTGGCCAACGTACTTTCCTTGCATGTTCAGGTGCAGTGGCTTATCATCACGGACTATATGTGCCTGAGAAGCTCGGCAAGGCTTCGTGGGTCAAGCACGTCGCCGAGCGTGTCATGTTGGCGGCCTCGCATCCCCAAGCATTGTGTTTGCTATTCTGCAGCTGCTTAAGGACATCTGCGACCAGATTTTGTCTCAATCCTTATCTTTCCAATGCGGGCCCGCGGGCTAAGGAAATACACAACGACCAAGACTGCTGATGACATCCGCCTGGCCGTCGCCAACTATTCAGACAAGGTGCATCAGGTGCCAGGGATGGGCGAAGCCAACTTTTCTAGGGTTTCTGGGTTTAGGGTGTCAGCCTTTTGTCATGCTCTGCACTGTTGCGGAGGCTGTCTGTAGCTAAGAGCAAGGGCCCTTGGAACGGATCACCGTTTCCTGCTGTCTGAATCATGGGCCCCTAAACCCTAAACCCTAAACCCTAAACCCTAAACCCATCTTTCTGAAGAGAAGTAGTATTGCCGGTATTGGTCCCTGCAATGTGGCCTGAGTGTCAGCTAGGCGGGTGGCAAAAAAAAAACCCTAAACCCATCGATCTCGCCCCTGGCAGAGGATGCCCCGAAGGATGCCTGCAAGTATCTGCAGATCGAAGAGTTCCGCTGCCTGAACGTAGCCCGGCCAGTTCAGAGTTTAGAGTGTAGGGTTTAGGGTTTAGGGTTTCGGGTTTAGGGGTGTTCAACAGCCAAGTAGCTGCCCAGCATCTCCGAAGTCCATCCATGAAAGATGGTTCTGGGTTTAGGGTTTTGGGTTTAGGGTTTAGGGTTTAGGGTTTAGGGTCCATGAGTGTCGTGCCAGTCTTCAGCCAAGGTCTATCAGTATGAAACCCAGCCGGAGGTTGCCGCAAAGAAGTGCATGAAGTGGTGGGACGCCACCGCCTTGAGCAAGTGGACTGCAAGGGACCAATGCATCAGCAGCTGCGATCCCCGCCCAACCTCCACACCACTAAGGAGGTTCAGAAGTGCCAGTGGGACCAAGCAAAGCACCTCAGCTGATGCTGGAGTTTAGTTACACTCATGCCGTCGTTTCGCAAGAGGGGTGCCCTAGACGCCCTGCCACAGCATTCACACGGAATCTGAGATGAAACGCTGGCTGTGCGACTCACCGCATGACATGAGTTCCGTACGATGCGACATACTGTAAGCCATGCAAGGTTCAATGCTGGAACGACCTACATTGAAGGACCTCAGATGCGCCGCCGGCGTCCCTGGCCAAGCGAACCCTCTCTCACCAGCTGGAAAGTTCTGTCAAGAGCGTGAGACTGCAAGTGAACACTGGCAGGTAGGAGAGAGACTTGAGAGCTTGGAAGGTGCCTACATCTTCTACCCGGACTTCAAGTATGCATGATCCGGTGCGCCACACGTGGTCCTGTTCTCCATGTGTGTCGGCTTTACCTTCATGATCAAAAGAGCCAGAAAGACCTCTCTGACGGCGCTGTGCGGTCAGCACACAAGACGACCGCTTTCAATTGGTTTTTGCGGCAGTGGCAGCAGGATGCTTGCCTTGCTGTGAAGTTTGGACGGATGAGTCGGCAAGCACCGTGCCAGTTCTGCAGAAGCGCAGCGGCGCATCAGTTGGAAAAAGTCCCCGAGCTCACTGGTGAAGGACGGTAAAGGTGCCAAGGTATAGTAGCATACAGTTCTGCTTCTTCCAGGCCAGGGCATCTTGTTCAGGAGTGCATTCGGTCTCATGTCCAGCACTTGTTGAAGGCCTGGTGGATGAGTGCTTCCAAAAAGAAAGATGCATCCGCCGAGTGCCCGGACCTCTGTCTCCTGTTTTTGGCTTGATGCTACGTTTTGACAAGCGTGAGTTTCTCGACCGGTTGCCACATCAGGAGCATTCGGCGACATTTCTGAGTTGGTCTCCTCATGCGACTCAGCTTCTTGTGCTGACTCATTCTTCCGCCACTTTCGCAGCAAGGTCTGTGCAAATGCACCCTCCGTTTCACAGAGTCCCACATCCCCAGAGAGGGAATATAGCCTAAATTATAAAGGGATCCTTCTTATGATTCTTAAATTATAAAGGGATCCTTATTATGATTTGAGGAAGAGTCCTTAATTAAGGGGTATTGGGCTCTTTGGGTCAGACTGGCCTCGTAAGACATCCTGAGATTGTGTTGGAGGCCATGTGGCCGTGACAGCAAAAGTTGTCCCTCTCAGCTGGTCCGACCGAAGCTGCAGACAGCACCAGACAGACAGAGGGTTTAGGGTTTGGGGTTTAGGGTGTAGGGTTTGCTGTGATGGGGCGTAGATGCTGTGAAGGTTAGGATGCAGCAGCGGCTCGAATGCCTCGTCAGGTGCGAAGAGCAGCTCTGGCCCGATTATGGAATACTTTTCTCCCACCCCACCCCGTCCAGGCGGCAAAACCACCCAAACCTTTTCCTTTTAGGGTTTAGGCCTAAACTCATGACAATCGCTTACTTTCAAAAACCTTTCTGTCACCGATGGCCACTTTCAGCCAAGGGAAAGGTTTGAGGCCAGGTCCCGGCTCGTTTGTAGCACGGGTTTCAGCTTGAGGCAGAGCCAGGGCCAGGCAGGGGCAGGCGGGGCCAGGGGAGGGCAAGGAGGGCCAGGCAACCCAACAGTCAAAAAAAACACTTTTTGAGCACCCACCCTCCCTGGACCAGAACCTGCTCCGGTACCGGGCCCATCGTGGGTGCTACCGACCTCCGAGCTGCAGGAGGCGGGCAAGCGACCTGGGTCGACTTTCGAAAGGGCTTAAGCGCCGCCCCTCTGTAGGGGGGCGGCCTAGGCCCGGAGTTTAGGGTTTAGGGTTTAGGGTTTAAGCTGCATGTTCTGCAGTTTTGTCTCAAAAACAGCTCAGTCAGAAGGCGCAAGCTAGTGTGACCCATGATGTTGCAATATGCTGACCCAAGCACGCCGCCCGATGCGTGGCTTTCCTTGTTCTGATTCTTCATGGATGAAACAAGCCCGTTTCCTGTGGCGCCTCCTCATGGTATTGAATCGCTGAACAATCTCGCAGCCGCAGTGCGCCCAGCCCATGCTCCCCGGCAGCACAAGTCCGGAGCCTTATGCAGTCCCCAGAGAGCCCCATACCCCTTTATAAAGGAATACTAATATTCCTTAAATCATAATACGGATCACTTTATAATTTAAGCTATGTTCACTAATTAAGGGCCATTGGGCTTCTGGGTCCTTTGAGTCCTTAGCCGCCGGAGCCATCTTTAGCCTGAACCCACCGAAGGCCGCACACAGGTCGTGCTCTTGCAGTGGTTCAGGTTCCGTACATTTCTGTCACTTCTGTGCGCACGCTAGTACTTTGTTGTTGAAGGGTCTTTGTCTTACTGGCACGCCAAGACTTGTTCACTTCGGCGTGTTGGGTGGGTTGCTGGCTGAAGCTGCGCACAGGAAGCCCACGGCCAGAGCTTGTGTGCTTGGGGACAAAAAGCACCCGCGACCAGCAGCCTTGCAACTTGCAAACAACCATGACCACGACAATAATGCGCGGCCTCGGAGTCGAACCATTCCCGGAAAACGGGCATGATCGCAAGATTCGTTCGGATTCTTTCGTGCTGTAGGTGCGACGCTGGTGTTTGTCTCGCTCTTGTTCCCCCGCTTGTTAAAGCTTGCAGGGGCATCAAAGAAGTCGAACAAAAAGGTCAGGGCGTTCAAGGGGTGTGGCAACCACTTCGTTCATTGCTGGGATCTGCTGTGCCATGATGATGAGGGCTCGCCACCTGCAACTTCGTGGCCATTCGGAGCACCACGCGACTGGCAACTCACCGGACTATGAGACCGAGTGTCTCCGCGCCTTGTTGAAGTTCTCCCCGAAGACTGCCGACCAAGCTCACAGGCACGGTGTCGGCTGCGCCCGAAGCTCGATTAAGAGGGGTTGCGCATCTAGGAGATGCAGACATGAACATACTTTACTGAGCGTAAGGATGCGTTCCGAAAAATGATCAGCCTCAACTCACACGAAGTTTCTTCATTGTTCTGCCCCGCATCATGAAAAGAATGGCAACTGGATTGCAGGAATGAGTTGTCAGGTTTGAGAGTGTACGGGCTGAACTTTGCAAAAGGCAGCTGCGCTTCAAGACCGTCGAGGGACCAAAGTGCGTATTACATAATTGAACGCCTGAATCGTGTTGAACATCAAGGGCTTGAAAACACTTGAAGGGCCATGAGAGCAGGCTCTTGAGCAACATCTTCGCAAAGTCAGCTCCTGATGCACGCTCTGCCACCCGAATTCTCAGCAAGCTGGCCAAGGACTGCAAGCACATGCACGCTGGGAGTTTTCAAACTGGACGCAGCTCTTGCCATCATGCATGTGAAGCCAAGACGGGACGAAGGGCCGAAGTGCTGCCGGCAGGGATGGACCAATGGTAGGTATGGGTAACCCTAAACCCTAAACCCTAAACCCTAAACCCTAAACACTAAACCCTAAACCCAAGTACTGTGATGATGCTGTGCAACGCTGTGCCGTCTCATCCCCGTGTCGGCTTGACGACGTCAGCATGGTTGGTACCTCCCGGCTGAATTGTTGAAGTGCGTCCACTTTCAAGGAGCGGAGAGATCGAGGTCGCATTGCCAGCAGCAGCTAGAAGCATTCTCCCTTCAGACACTAATCATCATTGAATAAAAACAGCAATAACAGTAATAATAATAATAACAATAACAATAATCACAATAATAATCATAACAATAATAACAATAAGAAATAACAAACATATAAACAATAATAAGTGTAAGATATACAGCAAAGTGATTCTTGCAAAACGACAGAAGCCTGGAGGAGGGCCGTGGCGAGGCTGCTTCGTCTTTTTTGCAGCCCTCGCCCAAGGAGCCAGAATTGACTGCGGCGGTTTAGGGTTTAGGGGTTAGGGTTTACGGTTTAGGGTTGAGTTGGCTTGTTCTTGCGCACGTGGCAGCGCTTGTTCACATACATAGTCCTTGGCATGCAATGTCACGCTATGTTTGCTCCTAGGTGCTGCCAAAAGTTTGGGCTGGAAAGGCCCTTTGGCAGAATACGCAGAGTATGCAGGTTTGTCCTCACAGGTGGGATGTACATGCAATATACTCCGTGTCAGCGCTCAGTGTCGTTCCGTAGATACAGGTCGAAAGGTGGCGTGAGCTTGTATGGGTGTTAGGCAAAGAGGTGTATATCGGCTCATAGCTCCGGATGGGTTAAGTAGGGGAGGCGGGGGGGCCCCGCTGATGTTCCAATTGCCCAAGTGTCCCTGTTTCCAGTATCTCAAACCACATGCGCCGTCAAGCTCTTCTACCAAGACTAGTGAACTTCTCTGCCTGGACGGTTTTCTGCCTGCGCATTCTTCAGCGAAGACTAAGGAATGTCTTTCACTTTGCTGCCGCGCTGCGGGCGTTTGCTCCGAAAGGTAGGTGGAGCACTGCCTTTCTTCTTCTAGAAGAGATGCAGCACCTGTCTGTCGAAAGCAATGTGGTCGCGCAGAGCTCCGCTCTTACAGCATGTGAGAAAGCTGGCATGTGGGAGCAGGCCGGAAATTCCAAAGTGGTTTGCTGCCCCCCCACCCCCCCCTCTCCGCGCCGAGCTGCAGCTTAAAAACAGGACAGCAATGTGTTAAGATGTGGCACATACATCATGAGCAGGGGGGTCCAGGGCAGCATTGCCGCGTGTAAACGTACAAGATGTTTGGACATCTTGTCTTGCAGGCCTTGGTGGCTTTGAGGGTATCACGCGGCGCGGCCATGGAACTGGATACAGTTGCTTGGAACGCAGTGACTTCGGCGTGCGAGAAAGCGGGGAAATGGCAAGTCGCGCTTTCCTGCTTGAGCTCTTTGAAGGACAGCTCCCTGCTTTGCGCCATGTGCAGAGACAGAACGGCAGACCTAGGGAATGCCTGGCTATGTCTGGCCCTTTGCCACAGGAGGAGCACTTAGAAGCCAGCTGCGTGTCCTACAGCGCCACCATCAGCGCCTGCGAAAAGGGCTCCGCCTGGCAGCTCGGTCGACTCGGTTCGTGGGCATCGATTCGCGTAATTCGTTCCTGATCCGGTATATGGGCGTACCGTGTATCCCGTTCCCCAGAGCAGCTCAACGGCTGCAACTTGCTTTGCGCAGTGCATCACAATTCATCTTTTGCATAGTTGTTGCATTCATTGTCTTGGTTAATTGGGCTGCTTTGGTGGAAAAGGCAGATGGGCATGGTATGTCCCTGTGCCACACTGCCAGGATTCAGGCTTTGAGCTTGGTGGACATGATGATCTCGGAGAGCGTCCAGGTGAACACGATCTCCTGCAGCATTTTGGCAGACCTGGTGGTTCAGACCTGGTGGTTCAGGGTTGTGAAGGTTCCTTCAGCAGCGAGATAGTGCGCAATATATCGAAATCCCGGGAACCTAGGTGCTGCGATCAGTGCATGCGCCAGGAAGGGTGAGTGGACACAGGTGCAGCTCGTGCAGCTTGCAGGTTGTGCCCATTTGCCATATACCAGCTGTTGGATGTGGAGACTGTGCTCCCGAATTTTCTTCTTGTTCGTTGCAAGCACGGACTGCTCAGATGGCTAAGGCGCTAGAAATCCTCAAGCAGATGGATGTCATGCACGTTTCCATCAACGAAGTGGCCCTAAGTGGAGCAGTTACCGCCTGCGAGAAGTCGTCGGCATGGATCGAGGCAATGGCCATGCTTCAAGCCATTCGACTGAAGCTAGATCAGTTTATGGTAGAACTCACGCATACAGTGTTGAACAAGAAGATGAAGCGGACCGAGCATGCTTTACCTTAGGCTGCCAAGCCAATGAGATGCTTGGCATCATGGGTCCTTGGTGTCTGAATGCGTTTACCATGGGAACTGGTTTGCAAAGGCATCTCTCCAGACACCATCCTCTTCTGCGCAGCTATCAGCGCGTGTGCAAATCGCGGCGAGTGGATGCAAGCATTGGGGCTGCTGCACTCCATGGCGCCGGGCTTAGCTGACAAGGTCACCTTCTGTGCACGAAGTTCCGCACAAACACATTGGCAGGAACTCGCTGCCGTGGCAAAAAACCTCGTCACCTTCAATGCTGCTCCTTGGATGCACGAGGCCAGGTCATGCAGCTGCAAAGCAGCGTTCAAGGCGCCTGCTCGATACCACAACACTATACTTGTACCTCTTACAATCATGATAGCCCATGTGCAGCTGCAGAAGCCCCGCTTAAGACGCATAGTTCGCAGTTAGAACCTGAGGCAATCAGCGCCTGCTGTGAATGTGGGGAGTGGCAGAAGGCGCGCCGGCAGTGCCGTCAGCTGCAGATCGGGTTAAGGACCTGTGAAGTGCGCCGGGAAGGGATGGAAGTTGTTTAGGGCTTAGGGTTTGGGGTTTAGGGTTGAGGGTTTAGGGTTGTAGTATGTAGCGCGCGTATGGCGTGTCAGCCAGCAGAGCTGATCCCGTTGTACCAGCAGCTGCTTTTTCTGGCATTCCCCACCCAGCCCAGATGGAAAGCAAGGGTTTGGCATGATTCTGCCAACTGGTACCAGCTGGTGAAATGAGAATGAGCATGAGCACATGCGCTGCCCGAGTACTTATCCGTGCCAAGCCCCGGCGCCTGAGAACTGGCACAGATAAGTGCTTTGGTACAATTTCAAAGGGGTTTAGGGTTTAGGGTTTAGGGTTTAGGGTTTAGGGAGTTTGGTAGCACTAGAATACTAGAAACCCACGATATGCATTCCATGTTTTGAAGTGATGAGAATACTTAGGGCTCGCCAGTAGCTTGCAATTTCCATGCCGGGCTGTGGAAGGCGCTTCACCTCTTTCAGGCCTGCGCGTCTGCGAGGCGTGGTACCATTCCCAAAGAGCCCAATACCCCTTAATTCAGGAATATGGCTTAAATCAGATGAAGGATCCCTGTATCATTTAAGCTATATTCGGGAATAAGGATCAGAATGAGGATCCCTGTATAGTTTAAGCTATATTAGGGAACTTTCCTTAAATCAGAATAAGGATCCCTGTATAATGTAAGCTTCATTAAGGAATATTCCTTAAATCATAATAAGGATCCTTGTAGAATTTAAGCTATATTCCTCAATTAAGGGCTATTGGGCTCTCTGGGGTTTTGCGTCCCGTTTCATCTGAGGGTAGTTTCATGGGCCCTTCATATGGTCCCGAACCTCCTTTCAAGGGTTCTGATGTGTGGGCCCCTTGAATTTGCATAGGGTATATAGTGGGTATATAAGGGGTGTGCTTTTCAGGGCCCATACTAAGGGACCATGGAGCTACCCTTAGAGTTCAGTGCTGCAAGAAGTTCCCTGCACCCGTGCAGTGCAGAGAGCTTGTTCCTCCTGACACGTCGCAACTTCTCGAAAAAACGAAGCATCTTGCAGCACAGGCTCGAGAGGGACATCATCACCTACAACTCTATGATCAGCGCATGTGGAGAGGGTGCCTGAACTGAAGGTGTACTTGTTGTTATGACATCCCACTACATGCCACATGTAAGGTCCTTGCTCCTCACACTGACCGCTGAACCCAAGGTGCGCAATGGGAATTTGCGCTTTGCGCATTGACTCTGGCCCATGCGCAGCACTTGCTACCAACAGTCAGAGCCCCAGTTGCTCCACGGCGCACTAAACAAGGTGCACCAAGACCCTCATGCCTTATCCCCACCTCCCCATGCACTACATGATTCTGCGCCTCTGACTCCGCTGTTTGTGTGCTGTTGCCGAAAAGCTCGAGGTTGTAACGTACAACTCCGCGATCCTGGGTTGCGCACGGGCTCGTCAGTGGGAAGTCGCGGTTCATCTTCTAGGCCTGCTGCCATGGTGTTCCGCATTTTTGGATCCATGTGAATCCCATTGGGGTATTTTTGAGACATGAAATATTGAGCTTGCGCGTGGCTGATTGATGTCAAGGATGAGGAGCGCGCTTCCAGTTTTTGTCACTCATTCGGCAAGATAGGTCAGGAATCCACTGAGATAGCATGAAGTAGTCACTTGTGCACGCTGATGCTTCAGCAACTGTTCCTTCTGTTCCTTCCACCTCTGGTGCTGCTTCAGTTTCGTCACGCAGGTCGAAAGCAAGTAGTCGCAATGGAGCAAGAAGGTTTTGGGTTGCGTTCCAAAGACTCGTATAGGGGTCGAAATCGCGCTCAGGCTCGAAGCCTGTTCGCATGTGTTCCTGCTAGAAGCCTGTGCAAATCAGCACTCTTGCCTTTATGCCGGGCTCACCTACTTTGTGACTGCCTTCTGTTGTTATCACTCACTCGAGGAAGACAGGTAGCCGCACTGGTAACTGGGACGTTCAATGAGCCGCTGTGTCAGCTGAACTGATGCTCCGGGTTGACAGAGTTTTTCTTTTGTGCAGTCCTCAGCTCTAACCGCATAGCAAGATGTGACGGTAATCCAAGTCGACTCGCGAGATAGTTGGGCTTTAACTTCAGCAATTCAATGAAGATCTTAATGCAAGAAACATGACAAGAGTTGGATGGCTTATGAGATCACCTTTTTCTTAGGAATCCCCTTTCCCCTAAGAAAGCAATGAGAAGAGAATCGCATGAGAAGGGTGGGTTGCAACATGGGATTGCAGGCAACGGGGCGGGGGGGTGGGGGGTGTTTGGTCTTAAATGAGCTCCCCTTTCCTCTGCTACGGCAGTCATAATCGCAGCGTGGGTGGCTTTGGAACGTGTGTTTTTTTTGGCTCGGCCAGCCGCCAAAAGGTAGTTGCCCCGACGAGTGTTTATTTTGCTGTGCCAGCCGCGTGCCGAATAAACAAAACAGCGCCCCGGGTGTTTTCTTTGCTCAGCCAGCCGCGTAAGTACCAAAGGGTGTGCTGAACGAAAAGCGTACCGAACAAAAGAAAGCTCTTACCGGGTCGGTTTTCACATGTTTTCACATGACCCCCTTTCCATTGTGATGGTCATTCAAATCGTTTCATAAGAGGCGTGGGTACATGCATAACGCTGATTCGCAAGAAACAAGTTGGGACAGTTTGGTACTTTGCTCTTTTTCGCTCTCGAACAAACTAGGCAAGTTGCGGACAAGTCGCAAATGAGGAGAGAGTGTGCTAGGGTTTAGGGTTTAGGGTTTAGGGTTGAGGCTTTAGGGGTTTAGGATGCTGTTGGCCCTGCAGAGGTTCATCAGATGATCATCGCGTTCGACGGAACATGATCAGCTCCTTAGCTGCTCGGGCACGTCATGCCTCAGACGCCTCGTTTTTTCCTTGAAAGCTAGCGCTTGGCTTGAGCAGTCTTGCTTTGAATTCAGCAGAGTGATGCTTGGGACATCGTTGAAAGCAGCGGCAGAGACTCAAGAGGTGGAGAAGAAGACCGTAGAATTGTAAGGGGGCTCAAGATTGAAAGCACAGGAATCATGGCGACGACGAGGGGGGGCGGGGGGGGGGGGGGCCCACTGAATGCGCGCACGGATGCCTTTAAGGGGAGTACGCTTCCACGCACTCACACACGCCTGCCTGCTTGTTTGCACACGCAGGCGCGGTCGCATGCAGGCATGCAGGCATTCATGCAGGCATGCGTGCAGGCATGCAGGCATGCATGCAGGCATGCATGCAGGCATGCATGCAGGCATGCATGCAGGCGCACCGGCATAAAGACGTGTGGCCAGTGCACCTGCACCCGTGCAGCCCATGCAGACCCTTTACGCGTTGATGCCGGTTCCCACACGTGTGATCCACATGCGGTCTTGCTACTTGTGTAGCTTTCACAAGCCCCTCGACCTCAAGTTTATTAAATCGCCTAGACAGTTTACTGTCTACGGCTTGCGCTCGAAGCAAATATAATATCCCACTATCCCGAGTTAAAACTTGACCGCACGATTTGGCAGGTTATGAGGCAGCTGCTCTGGCTTGCGAGGCCCATGCGTCGCTTGCTGTGCTCCTGCCAGAGGTTGCACAGTTTGGCATGCCACTGGGCCGCCTTAGCTGCGTGATTGATCCGGGGCTTGCCGGAGAGGACAAATTAATTAGGGTTGAGGGTTTAGGGCTTAGGGTTTAGGGTTTAGGGCAACCAGCATATGCTCGCACATTATCCTGCCGGCCCTGTCGTCGGTTGATCGCATCCAAGGATGGCTGCCACAAGGGTCAAGCACATGGATCACTCGGACTAGCAGGCGCCAGCCCTAGTCAGTCAATAGAGGCCAGCGCAAACCTTAGACAGGCCCGGCTTCGTATTTTTCTGGATGCGGGAATACCCTAAACCCTAAACTGCCCTAAACCCTAAACCCTAAACCCTAAACCCTCCATGCTCTGTTTGCAGCTTCTCTGCCGCGGCCAGGCGTGCACCAGCGCACCGACCTTTGAGCGACGAGGCTTTCACTTGCATGACGTGCTGTTGAAGAGACCAGAAGAGCCCGGGAGTGCAGAAAACATGGGATCTGCTCAGCACAGACAGAATGTGGCTATCAGTTGCTTAAGAATCCCCTTTATTACCCTTATAGGGAAGAGCATGTTTTTTTTTTTTTTTCGGGGGGTTTCTTAAATAGTAGGTGGGTTTCAGCAGCAGGGGACAGAAGCTTGCGATGCGCCGTCCGTGCTTTCAGCCGCCCTGCGCCCGTGCCGGACAATGATGCCCCAAAACGCTCTTCTTCAAAATTCCTCCACAAGCATGTCAAATATTCTCAATCTTGCGAAGTGCAATAAGCCTTTGAAGGGTACCGTGGTTTGTGCTTTGTTGGTTTTGGTCTCTGGAAGAGGGAGAGAGAGAGAGAGAGAGAGAGAGAGAGAGAGAGAGAGAGAGAGAGAGAGAGCGTCGCGCGCCCCTGGGGGCGGCTCTCCTCTTCGGAGGGGGGCCATGCGTGCAGGAGAGAGAGAAAGAAAGAGAGTGCTGCGCCGTCGCGCCCCGCAGTTACTCCAAGGTTGAGGTCGGCGGCGCGGTATGGCTGGATGCAGATCTCGACGTCGCTGACTCAGGGCGGAGCTCGTTTCAAGCTGTGCTAAAGTAGCAAGGCCAAGTGATTTCGTTGATGGGCAGCCTTCACATCACAGCAGATTTTGTGCGCTGACGTCGGGAGGCTGTCAGGGATGTCAGGTTCTCATCGAACTCCTGAAAAAATCCATCCTAAAAGCCATCATCAACCAGAGTTGTGGATCAAGAATTTTGAGCCTCAAAGCAGGTGACTTCTTTGCAGATAGAGCCGCACATGGCTCCTATGCGGCAGGCGCTTCCCCAACTCTTCCGGGCCATCATCGTCCTTGCCGCGTGTTTCAATTGTCTGCAGGAACATGGACAGGGAACGGGCACAGACCCAGAAAGCCTGAGCCATGAAACCGGGCAAACCACGGATGCTCCGAAGCCTCCGACAGCTCCAAAGTCTCCAGTCCGAGCTCTGATGGCTGAATCTTCCTTCATGGAGCCATCGGAGCCATGCCATCATCGGCGAGATGTGATGAAGTTGGAGAAGCTGCTTGAGGTCCTAAGACGAGAGATTGTGCGAGGCCACTCCGCAGATGTCTGGTCCCTTCTAGGCAAGTGGGGCGCGCCTGATACATATGTGCACAACTTGGACAACTTGACCTACGACGGCTATCCACAAATCCAGTGCAGTGACTTAGATTTCCTGGCAAGGCACAAAGTGAGATTCGAGGAGTCCATCTATGACCATGTCTATCAAACACGCTATGCAAACATTTCATACATGACGGTTTTGGAGCTTGCTCTACATATGACCAGAGGTGCAAATCAGAGGGCTTTGAACATGGCCATGAATCGGAATGAAGTGGCTGTGGGAATACAGGATAATCGGATTGAAGAGCGTGTCGCCATCATTCGCATTTTGTTGGAGAAGGGCTTTCTGTGGGGAAGTGGAGACTTGGTGTGTAAGGTTGTTCCCTTCGAAAGCGGTTATCAAACCATCGTCAGACAGGCATTCGCGCGCACCATATTGCATGACTTGGTGCGCGACTCGATCCACTTGAACCGAACTCGCATTAACTTCCTTCTTCAATCTTGTGGTGGAAAGGGCATGGATGGTGTGGTGTGGATCTTGGGTGAAGCTCCAGGGGCCTTCAGTCTTCCCGGCCTGTTGAGTCGAAGGACGGTGTTGATGAACGCAGCCCAAGATGATGATCTCAACGACACCTTCATCAACTTCCCAGAACTCATCAATCTCTACAAGGTTCTGCAGGCACCTCTCACAACTGTGGACCAAGACGGTTGGAATGCAGAGATGCATGCTGCCCGTGCCCTCAAGAAGGAACATGTCAACTTGCTGAAGAAAACCACTTTGGAGACGTGGCAACAAGAGGCCAGACATGGCTTCAGCATCTTGTTCCTCGGGGAAAATGTCTCAGACAAGTTGGCCGATGCTTGTGTCTGGGTGGCCGTTCATGTCAACTACCTAGTGTACATTGGTGCTTCCTTCTTTATGTGCTGCGCGCTCTTTGACGCCTCTCTCTTTGTGTCCAAGATGTACAATGGGCGCAGCCTGGACCGCTTGCTTTCTTCGCTGCGAGTTTTCTCAAGGTGCAGCTGCACATTTCTCTGCGCTGAGATGCTTTTGAGGGTTCTGTGGCTGCTCACCCTCAACACCGCATTTCTGAACATGCCTCCGGTGATCACAATTGCCTGGGAAAGACAGGTAAATCCCTTCGAAATCCCTGCTGTGAGCAAATGGAATCCACTCCCTGTGACGGTGCACGCGATCTACTCTCTTTGTTTGGTTTTGGTTGCGATCTTCGGGGTGCCGGACTATTTGTACGTTCGTTCTAAGTCAGAGGCTAATGATTCCCCCACACCGGCAGCTCCCGAGGACAGATACCAAGACCCGACCTGCCACCTTCTCGGATGCATTTGTGTCTTTGGTCTTATGACCCTCCTCATGATCATTTACCTCCAGATTGTGCTCAGGCCGCTGGAGATGGATCCCAAGAAGATTGGCTTGTGGTTTGGGTCACTCTTGGTTCAGATCAAGATCACCATGGATGACACCCTGTCTCCCGAAGCTAGGCTTGATCTCCAAAGGGCCTTCGACCCAGATGCTCCAAGCAACATTCCGGGTCATAGGGACTATCAGCCATTGCAGAATGAAAGCGAAGCAAGGGAAGAGAGCTCCCTGCAAGATCGCTACCAGGCGGTGAGGCAAATGATGCACCACTGGAATCGATGGGCATGTTGCATGGTAACCCCGTTTAACACAAAGATGTGGCACTTGCTGATGTTTTCCCACAAGAGGAAGATCCACATCAGCGGCGGAAAGGGTCCCGCCGAAGGTCGATGGTGTCAGGTGGAGATCGCCTGTCGCTTTGCCATGTCTTACATCTCGAACGGACTCTACAAGGCCATCATCGTCTACACCTTGCCACTGTGGCTATCTCGAGGTGGCCTCACAGATTTTGTTCTGAACGCCTTTGCCACGGTGTACATCGTAGAACTGGACGACCTTGCCAATCGTGATGAGTGGAAGTTGTTGCCGGATGTAGAGTTTGTTCGTCTACGCTCCAAGTCCAAGCAAAGTACCACCAGCTCGACAGCCACAGCCTCAACAGGCTTAACGGGCCTGACAGGCTTGACAACACTCGAGTCTGTATAGCAGTTTAGTGCTCCAATGTGAGCCAGGTCAGCCTGATTTAGCCGGATGGCTAGGAACGTGCTGATTCAACGTTTCAGTGAAAAATGTTTCTCGCAGCTGAGGCATTTCACCCAACATCCTTAGGTATCTTCTAAACCCTAAACATCCCTAAACCCTAAACCCTAAACCCGAAACCCTTCACCCTAAACCCTAAACCCTAAACCCCTTCAGATCTCCTCAGTGTCCGTCACCAGGTTGAGGAACCTGCTTGGAAAGCCAGTCGCCATGTGGACGGGCACTCAGTGTTACACAGTGTTGCTTACAGGCACCTGGATCGTGGGACGAGATCTTATAGGTCGAAACCTGTTAGGTCCATATCTGGGACGGCAAGAAAACTTGTCAAATTTGTCATCTTTCTCTATATATACACATTTTTTTTTCTCTCTCTCTCTCTCTATAGTTTCGGGCGAACCGTGATAACAATAACAATAAGAATTATTGTTATTACAACTTATTATTAATATTATTATCATTATTATTAACACTTTCTTATCTTTTATTGTTCATTTATCATTATCATTATTCCTTTATTAATATTATAATAATTATTCTTATTATATCTACTACTCTGATCATTGTTATTGTTGTTATCATCATTGTTACTACAATGGTCATTGCATGTCTTGCTTTTTCAGCATCACGGTGATGCTGCGCCGATGCGGAGGGCACTTCTTGCGTGCAGAGTGCTTGACAACATGGCAGTCCTCCAAATCAGTGTTAGGGATCTTTTTTACTTTTTGGGTTATGGGCTTTCTTATGTATAAGCAAAAAGGATCCTTTTTTCTTCCTTGGGGAACAGGGATTAAGTCCTGTTTCAGGGAACGTTTGGGGCTGAAGCGTTGGTTGCCATGGGGATTATCGAGTGCCCGGGTTTTTGTTGGCCATTCCTCCATCGGCTCTGTGCATCTTTTCCCAAAGCCAAGGAACTCCGCGGTGGCTGACGATGTCACTCCTCCATTTTCAAAGATGGTTAGGCTCCTTCATCTGCATACGACTGCCCCTAAACCCTGAACCCTAATGCTTTCTGGGCAGATTGGATCCGCTTTTTTGTAGAAGGGTTTGCCAACCCAGGGTCTTGGCCAACCGTGGTCCTTTTGTCAACGCCTCGAAAGGCTTAGGGGTTTAGGGTTTATAGGGTGGGTGTAGAGTTTAGGGTTTAGGCTTGTGAAAAATGTAGGATCACCCAAGCGCCCACAGACAGTTTCACCAATTATGGGGCAGACCCTGCCGAAATATTCCCAGCTCGAGGGGGACGAGTACGAAGACCTGGCCGCAGAGGAGCAATGTTCGGTGCAATTCAGGGCCAACATTAAAGAGAGCTTCCTGTCTGTGCCTTGCCGAAGTATAGTATGTTGCTGACAAGGCTGTGGGTCCTCATTCTTTCTTGTCCATCTGTCTGGAAGCATCCAAAATGACCCCAAACCCATAACCGTGAAGACATCCAGAGCATTGAACCGACTGCAGGTTTCTGTTAAGGGCTTCTGTTCAGAGGCTTCGGCGCAGACACTAAGATTTTTCTATTGCGTTCATTCTTCGAAGCACAAGGCAAGAGTCTTTGGACAAAGCACTCCTAGTCATGCCGTTTTCAGATTCTCTAAGTTGCTGTGCCTGGCCGACTTCGTCACGGACATTGTCGCAGCGCAGTCGCTGGCACACCGGAGCGACCCGGTGCTGGTGCACTTTGGCTACGCCGCCCCAGCTCTGCTTGGGCTGACAGTGGTGAACTCCTGCATGATCCTTGCCCTTCGGTGCTGCTACCGCGAGTTTTTCGAGGGTGTTGTGCGGAAAGACCGCCTGCGATGGCACGTCTGGAGCCTGCTAGCCCTCACAAACCCAGAGATCCTCAACTCCTTCCTGGCATACTTGCACTCCAACATGAGCATTGAGGAGAAACACGAAGCCACCCTTGTACGGCTGTCCATCAAGAAGTTGGGGGTAGTTTCTCAGCTGGTGGAGGACATCCCGCAGACTGCCATCCAGGCAAACTGGGTCCATGGTTTAGAGTCGCTAAAGCTTAGGGTCTATAGGGTTTAGGGTTTTGGGGTCTATTTGGGTGTAAGATCTCATTGGCTAGAATAGTTGGGGCAGCTGCGTGATGGCATTCCAGAGTGTCCGTGTTTTGGAAGTTGCTCCCTCGCTAAGGTGAGTGCCATTTGCTTCGCCCTGAAGGCAGGCGAGCCAGTCCCCCTGCAGCAGAGCTGCGCGCTGGTACTGACTGTGTCAATGCTCCTCTTCAAGGTGGTGATGAACTGGGTGGTGCCATGTGCTGAGATAAACCCTGAACCCAAATATCTGGGCTCTGGGAATACCTTTGTGTATATTGTAGTTTACTATAGTACACTACAGTTTCTTTTAGTATACTGATTGTTGTAGCTGAAGCGTTTGGGACTCGGGGCACTAAGGGTAGAGGAGTCAGGGCTGAAGGTTTGTGATAGACTGCTCTACCTGGAGACAAGACGCAGTGCCCCCAAACCCTACACAAGCCCTCTACAAGCCCTGAGCCATGTTAACAACCTTGAACCCTGAGCCGTGACCAGTGGCACTGAGCAGGTGCTGGCCATAGGGGTCACCGTAAGCAGCTTCACTCTGCAGAAAGCTGCTGATCAAGAGGCACTGAGGGGCTCACGGGAGCTCTCGCGCAGCCCCGATGGTGCTTCCTGGCACTGGAGTCAAGTAATGTTAAACCCTTTTGGGAAATTCGGGGTATACCCCCTAAACCCTAAACCCTAAACCCTAAAAAAGACCCTAAACCCACAACCCTAAGCCCTTACCCCCTGTATATTTCTAAATGAAAACTCGTTCCGCCAAGGAATGCTTAGAAGCGGGGCCCGACGAATCGCAAACTGTCCTGAACCCGAGCATGCCCTGAGAATCTTGGTGCAGGCCTTAGGGTTTAGGGTTTAGGGTTTAGGGTTTAGGGTTTAGGGTTTAGGGTGGACTCTAAAGCGGGGGAAGTTTCCGATTTGTTTTGGGTCGCTATTTTTTTGGTATTCGGGCTTTGCTTACTTTTTTTTTTTGGGGGGGGGGGGGGATCCTCAAACCTCATTTTGTTTCATGGGACCTTTTGTGTCCCATTGTACTGGCAGAAAGGTGTTGGCTGTTCTGGGCAACCTCCTCATAGTGCATGCCTGCGGTGGCATTCCACTCCCTGTGCTGGATGTGGACGCATCCCGAGAAGCTGCTGTGGCCATGAAAGACACGGCAGTAGCGCTGGCAGCTGCAACAACAAAAGCATCGCCCAAGGCACCCGCGCTGGAAAGAGAAAAGGCAGTGGCTCCCCAATACTTGAAGCGTATTGTACTAGGGTACTACATAAAGGTGTTGGCATGATAGTACGGTGGACTGTCATAGTTTATTTGTGGTTGCATGTAGCAATGATCAAGGTATGACACTTGCTTTCATGTTGAGTTGCATTGGCGAGGTGAGCTGCGATTCGACCGTCACCTGAAGTTCTGCTGCTGACTATGCGTAACCATACTACAATAATAATACTATATTGGTATTGCAATAATAGCAATAATAGTACTCTAATACAGTAACAAAAAGGCTGTTATCCTTGTGGCGGCTGCTAGCGCTGCAATACTGGCACCCCTTACCACGGCCGCTCAGCACCGTCCACCACCACTGCTACTACCCCAGCTAAAGACATGTAGCATGCCGCCGGAGAGCTGTAGACTTTAGAACCAACGTTATCAAGCGGGATTCACCCCCCCCCCCCCCCCCTTATTGCGGGTATGAGGTGTTGGTGACGCGCACGCATCTGGCCCCGGAATATCTGCATGCTCGGTTTGGCTGAAGAGTTGTAGGAAAGGAGTTACGCGAGATCAACGGCAGCACATAGGAGCTTCCTTGCCTAGCGTGCAAGATCAGTACTTTGCACAGGTCGTGCTGCTCCGCTACATTTCTACTGCTATTCTGAAGTTTGCATGGTGTCTTGGGTCTTGGGCTGATACGAATAAACGTGAATAAACAGCATGAAGCAAGCAGGTATTGCAAGCAACCACATACACACAATTGCACTGCCCGTCGTTCGCGGGATTATGGCGACGAAAATTCCAGCAAAGCCAAGGCCCGGCACAGTGTGTGATTCAATCCCCTACGTTTTAGACGTTTTGAAGGCAAACTTGTGTAGTCGCAGGTGTTTGCCCCTCCCCCCCCCCCCCCCCCCCCGTTCATCTGGAGTCATGTCGTTCAACTCCTTATGCAATCGGTCGAGGATGTGGTTCTTGTGGGTGGGGTCAGGAGGAGGATGTCATTACCCCCACCCCCCCCCCCCACCCCCCGACCCGCCCCCACCCCCCGACCCACCTCCAGCCCACCCCATGTCGATCTGACCCTCCGCTCGGGTATGCAGTTCGCGTGTGTCGGCCTTCAAAAGGATGTGGTTCCTGAGTGTGTGTGTGTGTGTGTCGGCCTTATGCAGTCGGTCAAAAGGATGTGGTTCCTGTGTGTGGGAGTCAGTCCAAATTTCATTCTTCTTTTCGTCGACGCGGATGTAATAACCTCCCCCCCCCCCCCCCCCCCCCATCCTCGAACCCGAACCCTCAAAAAAGAAAGGTACCTGATTAGGGAGACACGAATGGCAGTCATGCCTACATGTATGCTGTTCATTGTTCCTTTCACACATTGTCTCCACCACTGTCCACTCCTGCACATGTCAGGCGCAAACTGGACACTGCGCAGCGAGAAGGCATCGAACACTTCTTGGTGGCTGAGCCGCAACTTAGAAGGTTTTTGAACTTCGAAGGCACGATTGCCCATGGCATTTGCGTTTGTCGCTTCTCTGGTCCTTTTTGTCCGTTCCAGCAGTCAGCAGTCTTTCTACGAGTGCGGCCGCCGACCATCATGATTACGTTTGCATGGACGCCGTGGAAATGCATGGCAAGTGCTCGAAACGAGGAACCAGACAAGCGGCATTTGCTGAAGACCAGGGACTTGGAGGGCAAGTCGCAAGCACTGCTGAAGCCCGAAGACATTCAGGCAAGATCTTCTGCATGTTGCAACAGAAGCTTCTGCATTTTCGGTTGTACGTTGCATGTGTGGCGCCAGTTGTGTGCGTGTGAGTATTTGGGGCGGCTGTCCATTTTCTTTGGTTCTCCTTCTGGGGCACCTGCCCGTAGCTTCAGCTGCAACGGGTGGCCGCTGCCGATGGCACAACCTCCCCGAAGCGCTTACACTGTTGCACATTGTCCACATTGTTCCACACTGTTCCACAATGCTCGACGATGCTCCACAATGCTCCACAATGCTCCACAATGCTCCACACAAATGCGCACACAACACGATCACGGCATTTTCGACGTTTCGGACGCTGCGCATTTCCGGGCCCCCCAGAGTGGAAGAGCCCCAAGCATGATGCTAAAAGAGTGCGATGCGGACACCGGGACACCCAACAGTTCAACAACAGTAGCAGAGCTCTGCCTTCAAGGGTAAACCGCGGACATGCAAAGTGGAGCTCACTTGCTAGCTAGTTGTTGCTGCTTCTTTGTCTGAACCTTGCTCCGCCCAAGAAGCGAGTATCGTCGACAACTGCAGCCTTCCGCTTTTGTCTTCGGGGCCAGGTGAGGGGCACACAAACTCGTGCAGGTAAGCATGTGAGTGTGTGGGGAGTGTGCTTGCAAAGGT